GACTTTACTTGACAAACATTGCATTTTATAAATGCTAAGACTCGCCATGAGTCCAATTATTCCTACAATTTTATATTCCCACTTCTACAACACATTATGTTTGCTTGTGCTTCTGTTACCTCAAAGAAATTGATATTAGTACGTAAAAATAAAAAAAAAAAGAGTAAATGTAATAAACAAAATATTGAGCATCGGAAACAATAAGGATCACTATCAGAAATCAACTTTTAAAATCCACTTATGCCTCTTAACCAACTAAGTGTGAGAGTGAATACAGAATATAAGGTTGATAATGGAAAGTTATCAAGACGGGACTTATAAGTGATACCAAACACCATCCATGCAATATGGCAAGTACAAAAGAAAAAATCATACATGTTCATTTTTCAGATGATTGAGCTCTCCTTTTAAAGTCTCTATTGCAGCCTTAAGTCTTGCTGCTTCACCACTAGAAGCAACATCCATCTCCGCAATCTTGGTGTCTTTTTCCACAATTAAAGTCTGGAAAGAGAAAAAGAAATGAACTTATGATTAAATTTAGCATCTGAAAATTGGAGCACCAACATTCTCCTTGTAAGATGGAGGGGAGAAATGATAAGATGTCACAAGAAATTAATCAATTAATCTAGATGAAACAAAAAAGTACACTGTAATTTAATTACTGCAGCTTTATCTTTTTAAAGGAACCATACTTAAGAGAAAGAGTTATAAGAGTGTACCCGCAAAGATGATATTGTTTCAGTTGCTCGGCTTCTCTCAGCTAAAATATCAGCAACTTGGGCTTCCATGTTCTCTATTTGCTGGAAAAGAGAATTTTAAAAGCCAGAAAGTTGGTAATGTGCAATTTGGGACAGGAGAATCAGTAACTAAAGAAGGAATGAAATTTATGAGAAGCCAAAGTTTGCTAAGATATCTTCATGTCCTTTACCTTCTGGTGCTTTACAGAGAGTTCTGCAATGGAAGCTTGCCGCTTTTCATCGGCTACCTGCAGTAATCCTCGCAAGTCTTCTACCATCTGCAGTAATACAAACACATGTTCTTAAAGTGAAATAAATGTTTTCAGGAACTTGATGACTGCCAGGGACGAATGCAGGGTAATAACATATAGAAAGAACTTGATGACTGCCAGGGACGAATGCAGGGTAATAACATATAGAAACTAACAAACTAGCACATGGAAAGGAGAGGTGATTAACCAGAGTTAATCTTTCAAATAAATATATATTCATGCACAACATTTAACTTCTTACTGAATAGGCCCATTTGCATAAAGTGCTTTGGTTCTGTAAAGGAGTTTGCTACGTAAACACAACCTTATTTCTCTTTTTATTCGTGTTTTCTTTGAGGCAATGTTGAATAATATCACATGTTTTTTTACTTTCGAGTATCTTACAGATCCAGCGTCCTCTTTGTTATGTGTGCATCTCATCACTTCTAAATTTGAAAAATGCTAATAGTTATCCATTATTACTGTAGCAGCATAATGCTCAAGGTAAATTAGACTGCGTTCGAGAGAGAGAGAGAGAGAGAGACTTAAAAAATCCATGCATATTAATATATATACCGAGACAAATGGATACACACATATTTATGTAAGATAGGAATGTGAGAATATTTAACCATTAATTACAGTAGATAGGTAACAGCGTGAGACCAGATAATATGTAAATCAACAAACTCAAACTTCAGAATGACCATAATAGCATAAGTATTCTTAATTTCCCTTCAAAGGAGTTGATGAGTACCTGTTCTTTGTCCAGAACTGATTGTTGCATTGCCTCCAAAGCATTCTCTTTAGGAACCAATGAATTACGTAATTCTTCAATGGTATCCCGAAGTCTACATAAGACAGAATTGTCAAACATTATGAAAGAAACATGGACAAATCTAAAGCATATCCAAGGCCATATACTTGCGTAAATGCACCATCAAAATTCATCTAGTGCAAACAACTGAATGCTTACAAGCACAAAAGTGCTGAATTTACAAGCACAAAAGTGCTTTTGCATTTTATATTAAGGATGATCTTACTGGGATGGAGGGACATCATATTTTCAACATATAGTTTAACCTACACACTTATTTTTGTTGTGGATGAATGGGTTGTTCTTTGGGTAGTGTAATTATGTCGGATGAGAACTTTTTAACACTTACTTATATAGGACACTGGCAAGAGCACAGAGGAAATTCAACCAGAGTAATTTTGGTTTTCACAATTGCAACTATTTTCAAAAGATGCAAATATCAAATTCAAAGTAAGTGAACATTTGCAAATATCATAATACGATAACCAGTTATGTAAAAGCAAAATTCTGATACAAAGCTTTTTGGAGACTGTACTTGTTGTTTGCACTTCGTAATTGTTGCCTCTCCGCATCCATTGCTTTCAATGCTTCATTTGCATGTTGCCGTGTCCGCTCCAACTCATTTTGTAGTGCTGACAGCTGAGAAGATGCAAGATCAGCTTTCTTAGTAACTTCACGGAACTGCTCTTCAAGGTCATCTTTTTCCTGAAAGCCACAATCCCGATAAGAAATTAAACTACACCCATTACAGTAAAAATCCATCATAAGCAATTGAACTAAGCCCACTACAGTAAAACCCTTGTCAAATCCACCAACTAAGTCTACAGTAAATGTTCTTTCATTAAAACATTGGATGGTAATAGGTAAAATAGATGATAGAAACATCAGTCCTCGAATAAGGGTGACCTCCCACTCATACCCTCAATAAATCCAACTCTCTCATCCACAAAAAAATAAAGAAACAAACAAGATTTTGTGGCACAAAAAACAAAATAACTTAATTAAGATCTGAGAATGTTGCTTTAAGGTCTGCTTGTGTAATGGAGCCAGAGACTTAGACTCATCATCAAGGATAATAAAAAAGGATCTCACTAGAGAAATGCATACAGAACTCTTCAACTACATAGACTATATCAACTATGAGGCATCACGATTTCTGAATATCTGAACGAGATAGAGTAAGTTCCAGCGCACTCCACCAATCAGGCTCCATTTTCAGTTTCCCAGCACTTCTACCCTAAAAGAACTAAAGAACAGAAGGTCCTTTCATGATAGATATGATATATATGGCCAAAATATTATGTACTTTTTCATGTCTTGAGAAACTTAGATCCTTGAGATCGGGAGGCTCATTTTACCTCCCTCCCTCTAAACCGAGGTTCAAAATTCAATTTGTGTTCCTCTGTCATAAATTTTGAACTGAACTTGCCTTTAACTCCTTTGGGTGTCTCCGCGTTTCAATAAAAATAATAATTCATGCAGGCCTTTTAACTTCTATCTCTATTTGCCTCTTTTAGACTTGTATTAATCGTCACTCAGACCTTTATCCAAGATTTAGTAGTCAATAGGCTCAACTGTACTACAAGCTACATGTGCCCATCGATGAATGCATTCAGTGATTGATTCTAGATAGTTAAAGCACTTAATGAAAAGATATAAAAGCAAATGAGTTTAGCAATAGAAACAGCAATATGCAGAAGCTTTATAAAATGGAAAAGGGCAAATCTTGGACTTAACTATGTGATATTTAACCTAATGTCCATCATCGGAAATTCAAGTCATTATATCAACAAAGACACGAGTTATGCAAGACGTGTATAGCATATCCAAGAACAATAAAATTAGATAGTTGGGATAATTATAAAAGATTATGATGTCGGACCAATCCAACAAAAACGAAAGGATACTGAAAGTGGAGGAATGAAAATAAAAAAAGAAATCGTAAATACAAAATGGGAGAAGGAAATGAATCACGTACTTTCTGCACATCCTGAATACGCTGTTTTGCTCTTTTATGGAGCCTGTTCAACTTGGAATCAAGGTCAGAATATTTCTCATCTCGCTCTTTTATTTCTTGATCCATCTTCTGTTGAGCTACGCCAGAATGATAAAACATAATAAATGTCAAGCCAAATAATGTATATGGGTAAACATATGCAGATTACAATACCACTCAGATATGTAAATCATTTTGTATCTATGACGGAAACAGTACCAAAGTAGTGATAATGTATTTGGGGGAGGGGGCAAATCTCAAAACTGACAACAAAGTATACAACCTTCAGCAAGTTTAGCGGAAAGCTCTTGTGCCTTCACATCTGCCTCAGAATGTTCAGCTCGTAGATGCGTCAACGCCTCCTCTGCAGCACCTCGTGTTTGTTTTTCCTCAAAAAGTTGTCTCTTTAAAGATTCTATTTCTCTATGAAGCTCTCTGACATCATCCAGAGACCTCGTATCATCATGCGGCACTTTCTGCGGGTCAGGCCGCTCAGAGTCCAGAAACTGATTCTTCAAGCCCTTGTAATGAGACTTCATATATTCATTCTGGAAATTGAGTTCCAACACCATCTGTACAAATTCATCTTGGCTGTAATTAAACTGTTTATCTGTATTTCCATCAAAGAGTCCATTCTCCTTCACATGATTCGGGTCAATCACAGTATTCATAACATCTTCTGCATGGTTTTCGAACACACTACCATTTTCACCCACTTCGTCCGACATTACTGCAAAATCAGTCCAGACCAAAAGGCATTACTTTCACTTAAACAAAATTTAAAACAAATAGCATTGCCACCATCATTGTAAAAAAAGAAGATCAAAATCATACAAAATTAAGCACACCAACGGAAAATAAAAATGAAAGAAGAGATCATAATAATGAAGCAACAGATATTTCTTTCACATCATCAATTAGGATTGAAAAATCCAACGACGCCGAAATTCACATCAACTCATTACAAAAAAAATCACAAGTCAAATGAATAAATTGATAATTGCGGTGGCCACTTACTCGAGAAAATTTGAGATCGGCTAATTGAAGAAGAATATACGAACGTCGACAGCAGATCTACCAGTCAGATTGAAATTGCAGAAAGAACAATTAAACTCATACGAATACATATAAAACGGCGCTGGAAAATGGGGGCTGTGTTCTCGCAGAAGAATCAAAACGCCACTCGGCCCCGCATTTCACACAAGTTGGGGTTCTGGGTGAGTGGGTTGAGGAGGTGTCTCCTACTTTGGTTTGATCCAAGTTCACACAAGCTTTCGTTTACTTGGATTTTTTTATTTCAACTTGTATAAAGCCAACAAAAC